ACAGGCCCAGCCGCTCCGCGGCATGTGAGATCTTCCCGGACCGGGGCATGAACTCGTGTCCCCTGCATCGGCAGGCGGACTCTCAACCACTGTGCCACCAGGGAAGCCCTCTAAGAAAGTTTTTAAAAATTGAAAGATATCCAGAACATATAAAGTACTCCTACAATTCAACAACAGCAAAAAACTCCATTAAAAAATGGGCAAAGGACTTGAATAGACATTTCTCTAAAAGAAGTTACGCAAATAACTAATAAGCACATGAAAAGCAGCTCAACATCACTAATCATTAGGGGAATGCAAATCAAAACCACAATGAGATACCGCTTAACATCCATTAGGATGGCTAGTTATGAAAAAAACAGAAAATAACAAGTGTTGGTGAGGCTATGGAGAAATTGGAACCTTGTGCATTGCTGGTGCAGCTGCTATGAAAAATGTTATGGCAGTTCCTCTAAAAAATTAAAGATAGAACTACCATATGATCCAGCAATTCCACTTCTTGGTATATACCCAAAAGAACTGAAAACTTCAGTAGATATTTACACACCCATATTCATAGCAGCATTATTCACAATGGCCAAAAGGTGGAAGCAACCCAGATATTCAGTGGATGACTGTATAAACAGTGTGGTATATGTCGATATATGTATATTGTGATATATAGATATAGATATATAGATATCACATTGTGGGTGTGTGTATATATATATATACACTGTGAGTATATATATATATATACTCTATATATATATACACACACAATGGAATGTTACTTGGGCTTAAAATGAAGGAAAGTCTGCCACATGCTACAACATGGATGAACTCTGAGGACATTATGCTCATGAAATAAGACAATCACAAAAAGACAAATCCTGTTTGATTCCACTTATATGAGGTACCTAGAGGAATCAAGTTCTTAGAGACAGAAAGTAGAACGGTGGTTGCCAGGGCCTAGGAGGAAAGAGGGATGAGGAGTTAAGTTTAATGAGTATGGAGTTTCAGTTTGGGAAGATGAAGCAAGTTCTACAAGAGATAGATGGTGGTGATGGTTCCCTAGCAGAGTGCATGTACCTAATGCCACGGAACTGTACACTTAAAAATTATTAAAGTGATATATTTTATGTTACACACATTTTGCCACAACCTTTTTAAAAAGAGTGATTGCTGGTTGGGTTCAGCCATGAGAAAGTCTTGTTTGGGATTGTTCTTTTGGCCTGGATGCGTTGGAGCAAAGCCATAGCCAATTACAGCCCTCATGTAACATGAGTGACAAATCAATCTCTGCTATTGTTTAAAAAATGAATACACTTTATGTTTATATTTTACCATAATAAAAATTTTTGAAAGAAAACTTTTTTGATTATGAAAGTAATACAGGTTCTTTATGTTAAAAAAATGTGGAAAGCGAATACCTCTCTCAATTCTTTCCTTCAAGAGTTTAGAATAGATTTGTCCAGATTTTATGTATGAATATATGTTTTAAAAAGGATCAAGCTGAACTTTGTTCCACTTACAGCAACTTCCTGCATCATGAAGACATCTCCAAGTCTTTCTATATAGATCTACTTTACAGTGCGTGGTATTTCACTATGTACAATAGATATGCCGTATCTTTTTGGCCAATGGAGATTTATCATTTATGATACTTTTGTTTACTTGTTTAGCAGCCCAAGTTAAGATGGTTAGGGTGGACTTCCCTGGTGGTCCAGTGGTTAAGATGCCACGCTCTCAATGCAGGGGGTCCAGGTTCAATCCCTGGTCAGGCAACTAGATTCCCACATGTCTCAACTAAAGATCCCGTGTGCCGCAACTAAGACCCAGTGCAGCCAAAAAAAAAAAAAAAAAAAAATGGTTAGGGTACGTATGGGTAGATTTTAAAATTCTTAAAGTGAAGGCTAGATGGCTTACTCTCCCACTTGAGAGAGGTGGGATGCATTATTACCCTTAGAGTCTGGTTTCTGAAGTGGATTTGGGTGCAGGTTCAGAACTGCAGGGCTGTGCACACTCCTCCCTTTGTAAATATTCCTGCCTTGTGTGTGTGGTCCCTCCCTGGTCATGGGAGTTGGTCAGGGCACAAAGCAGGGGGACTGCCTTTTTTTTTTTTTGGTCCAAATTCAAACTTTTGCTCTAGCTTCTGCCAGTTGTGACCCCAAAGCATCCACCCTCTGGTCATGGCCACTCCAGCCCTAGCACTTGGGTCTGGTAAGCCTGCTTCCGTTTGCTTCTTTCCCAAGACCTTGCCTTGCCACTCAAACAAGGTTTGCATTTCTTCCTGTGGTATAATAAATATATTTGGTATTTGTCCCCATTTCCTGGCACAGAGTTCCCAAAACCCCTGGAATTCCCTGAATGATAGCAGTGTCTTTTGTTAGCCGTAAGGAGCCCCTTTTGAGCACACTGGAGTTTATGCTAATGAGGTGACTTAGGGTGGGGCCCTAGATGGCCTCAGGATGGGGCTGGACACCAGAAAGACCAAGTGATTGGAGGACTGGAACTTTCAGTCCTCTGACCTCTGGGAAGGGGGTGGTGCTGGATTTTAGCCTCTATTAAAAAACTCTTGGACAATGAGATTTGATGAGCTCTTCGGGGCTGGTGAACAAGAATGCACCCAGGGCTTCCCTGGTGGCACAGTGGTTAAGAATCCGCCTGCCAATGCAGGGGACACAGGTTCACGCCCTGGTCTGGGAAGACCCCCACATGCCGCGGAGCAACTAAGCCCGTGTGCCACAACTACTGAGCCTGCACTCTAGAGCCTGCGAGCCACAACTACTGAGCCTGTGTGCCACAACTACTGAAGCCCACGCGCCTAGAGCCCATGTTCTGCAACAAGAGAAGCCACTGCAATGAGAAACCCGTCGAAGAGTAGCCCCCGCTCGCCGCAACTAGAGAAAGCCCGAGGAACAAAGACCCAAGGCAGCCAAAAATAAATAAATTAATTAATTAAAAAAAAAAAAAAATGTGCCCACATGCCAGGAGGGTGGCACAGCCTAGGTCCACACAGGGCAGAAGCGCTCTTCATCTGGCTGTTTACTCGTATCCTTTAATATCCTTTGTCATAAACTGGCCGGAGTGAGTACACTTTCCTGAGTTCTGAGAGAACCACTCTAGCAAATTAACCCAACCTGAGAGGGGGTCGTGGGAACCTCTGGTTTAAAGCTGGTCAGTCAGACAACCAGATGACAGACAACCTGGACTTGAGATTGTTGTCAGAAGTGGGGGCGGTCTTCTGGGACCGAGCCCTTGACCTGTGGGGTCCGACGCTCCAGGTAGAGAGTGTCTGAAATGAAGTAAATTGTGGGGTGAGAACTGCTTGGTGTAGGAACACCCTACTCCACCCAATCCTTCCCCCCCACGCCCCCTCCCCCACATGCACTTGGTGACTAGAAGTATTGAGAGTAGAGGAGGAAAGTAGAATTTTCCTCTTGCACTTCCTTTGCTCAGACATTTGCTGACCACACAGACATGACCACGCCCTTCCCAGCTGCAGAGTTTCCCTAGACTTGACCCCCGGCCTCTTGTTGGAGAGCTCTTCTTGCTCGTCAGACATAAACACAAGACTCAAAGCCTCCCCCTTACCCTGCTGAATCTGTCCGTGCCCCTCAGGGATTATTCTCCTGATGAGGTAGAAATCACGTGCTTCAGGATCACCTTTGAGGATGAGTGAGGCTGTGACCATACCCTTCACCCATGGGGACAGGCGCTGACCCCTCCGAGAGGAATCTCCATTAGGATGTGATGGGGAATTTGGGGAATGTGATCTGACTCAGTTCATTCCTTGCTAACCAAGTCATTGCTGCCACCCATGTGTTAGTGATGTGGTCTGAAGGTTTCCATTTAGTTAGTTTTAGTTTCTGACTCCTTGCAAACTGTATGGTCCCTTTTGATGAAAAATTGGCTATTTCTGCTTCTCCTTAATATTCAGTTCTCATGTTTTCCTCATTGGAAATGGGCAGCTTTCCTGTGCTCTGAGTCTACCCTCACCTCCCTGGCACCTGGGTCATCTGCCTGTGTATTGAAGGCCCTGCCTGTGGGAGTTTTACTTCTGTCCTGAGATGGTCGTCCTGCCTGTCTGTGCTTCCCAGCAAGCTCTCCAGTTGTGTCTCCAGCCATATCTGGTTCCCACTGACAGAAGGGCTAAGGCTGGTTTTGGTCTATTCTCTCCCCTTTCCTGTTTTTGGTGCTATGAACAGAATTTCACTTTTCCAACCTAATCTGATCATCCTCCTGGAACAAGGGAAGCATCCTGGGTACCACAACTGCAGGCAGATGAGGACAGAAGACTCACTCACAGGTGATGGGGGGAAGTCCACTAGCGCTCCCCCCCACCCCCGCCTTGTTACACAGCTCCTTCCCTTGTGCCATTTATAATGTTGAAGAATCCGAGGTGGAGTGCTGATTCAGATGAGTCCTCGTCTTCGCTTGGTCCCTAAGCCACTACGTGAGAATCTGATGGACACCCCCACATTAACACCTCGCCGTGCATTCCCCTCATCTGGGTGAGCCGCCTGCACAGAGGGGACAGTGGCCCAACGCCTGGTCAGTCTGTGTGTGGTGAAGACGCCAAAGACCTTCGGCCCTCAGCCGTTCCCCTTTACCTGATGCTTTGTTTTCTCACCCCTTTCCGGCTGGGGCCCTACATCCCTGTTTCTTCCCCAGTGTTTTGTCCTGTCTTCTGTTCCCTCCCTTTTATTCTCCACGTAGCACCAGTACACTCTTTGTCTGCTGGCTCTTGGAAGTTTCTGTTTTGGTCCCCTTCCCGGTCCTTACTGTTCAGGGTTGTGGAGATAAGTGCTGGATGCTGTCATTCTCTCTTTGTTGCACTTGATTATTCTGTTCTTCTCAGGTTAATTTTTTCCCCCCCCTCAGGTTAATTTTTGCTCAGGATGCAGATCAAGTCATGTGTTATTTGTCAGATGGTGAGAGCAGAACCAGGAATCAACTCTATAAGGCAGGGCCTTTCTGAGGACATGAAGTATGGAGGGAAGGCACTGTGAGGACTCCCAAAGGCTAGGCTCCAGAGATCTAATTTTGTAGAATCTCGTGGATCCCAAGAAACCACAAAAGGTCTTAGAAGAAAGGATCCTGCAGGTATAGTGCGTGCAGTAGGGATCCACCAGGAAGTCACAACTTGCTGCCTGGCAGAGAATCCTCACTGGAGAAAGGTTTGCTCTCACCTGTTCCTGCAGCCCGGAGGACTTCCACTGGCAAAGAATCTCATAGATGTAAAGTGTGTGAGAAAGCGCTGAGAAACAGACACATGTTCTCATACATAAGGGCGCTCACGCCAGAGGGAAACCCCACACTCGCAGCGAGTATGGGGAATTCTTCGAGTCTAGTGCTGTGACCGTCCCCTGTGGAGAGAAGGCCCAACAGCGTGAGCAACGTGGCAGAATCATAGCCCTAGTCCCCAGCTTACACCACGCGGGGAGAAGTCTGAGTGCCGAGGGTGTGAAGAAAGGATCAGAATCACCGCTCAAGCTCATCAGTGCTTCATGATAGAGAAAGCTCCATGGGCGTCACAAGCATGGAAGAACTTTCTGAGATGTGAGGCCCTTTCTTCCCATCAATGAGCATACAGAATGGGAAGGAATACATCTGTAAGGAGTGCAGAGAGGCCTTTTCTCAGGAGGCCACTGTTACTGTCTGTTTGTTTTTTTAAAGATTTTTTTGAGTGGACCATTTTTAAAGTCTTTATCGAATGTGTTACAATATTGCTTCTGTTTTATGTTGTTTTTTTTGGCAGTGAGGCATGTGGAATCTTAGCTCCCCGACCAGGGATCAAACCTGCACCGCCTGCGTTGGAAGGCGAAGTCTTAACCACTGGACCGCCAGGGAAGTCCCCAGGAGGCCACTGTTATTGTTGGTCAAACAGTCCACACTAGAGAGAAGCTGTATAGAACGTAAAGAATACAGGAGAGATTTCAGAGACGGGTCACACTTCATTACACACCAGAGTTCACATCCCAGGTGGGCCATGTACACACCACAAGTGTGGAAGAGCTGTCGTGTATATCACACTAACCTCTGTTCACTGCAGAGTTCACACCGGAGAGAAGCCCCATGGGTACAAAAGCTCCCAACACTTGGTTCTTCTGAGTAGTCACTCTGGGGAAAGCCTTGCACGTGTGGCGAGTGCAGAAAAGCCTTCAGGCATCGGCCCCATGTCACGGTCCATCAGCGTATTTATTCTGTGAAGAAGGCTTAAGAACGGTGTGGAAAAGCCTTCAGCCAAAAGTGGACTCTCAGGGTCCATCAAGGAGTCCACCCATGGACTTCGCTGGTGGTGCAGTGGTTAAGAATCCTCCTGCCAATGCAGGGGATACAGGTTCAATCCCTGGTCTGGGAAGATCCCACATGCCGCAGAGCAACTAAGCCCGTGTGCCACAACTACTGAGCCCATGCACCGCAACTACTGAAGGCCATGCACCCTAGAGCCCGTGCTCCGCAACAAGAGAAGCCACTGCAGTGAGAAGCCTGAGCACCACAATGAAGAGTAGCCCCCGCGAGCCACAACTAGAGAAAGCCCATGCGCAGCAACGAAGACCCAACGCAGCCAAACTTCTTCAACCTGGTGGGGGTTTCAGTATCTGTAAGACAGCTCACAGGATATGGCTCAGAATATTATCTGTAGCCCTTAAGAAGGCACTAAAAGTCCTTGACTATGCTTAATGACTAAACTATTATTATTTGGTCTCCTTTGACAGTTTTCCTTTGTTTCTGCATTGTCTCACTTCTCTGATTAAACTTATTCTTTGGCAAAAGTTTTTCCACGAACAAAAGGCAAGCTGAGGACATGGGGGGCATAGACCATAGGGTCCTGTTCCGTTTCAAGAGCAGAACTCGGAATGGGACACTGGGTTTGTCCAAGGGTGGTGTATTAGTCCCTTGGGGCCACCATGACAAATGACAACCAGCTGGTGGCTTGAAACAACAGGAGTTTATCCTCACAATTCTGGAGGCCAGATGTCTAAAACCATAGTACCAGCAGGGCTGGGCTCCTTCCAAGGGCTCTAGGGGATCACTCTTTGCCTCCTCCAGCACCTGGAGGCTCCAGATGTTCCTTGGTTTGTGGCTGGAGCACTCCGTTCTCTGCCTCCTTCTTCACAAGGCCCTCTATTCTGTCTGTATCTCTCCTTATGTGTCTCTCAGGACACTCACCATTGGATTTAGGGATCGCCCAATAATCCAGGACGATCTCAAGATTCTTAATTACATCTGCAAACACCTTTTTTTCTAAATCAGTTAACTTTCATAGGTTCCTGGGGTTGGGATGTGGACATATCTTTTGCGAGGCACCAATCAACCCACTCACTACAGGTTTAGTCGGTGGAGGGACGGTAAGGAAGCATGTGAGCCCGTTCTGGAGAGAACGGGGGCAGAGGGAGTGCAGACGGCAAGCATGTGTAGAGCTAGAGGGTAAGACTGAGTCACACTTGCCTGATGAAAGCAAGGATCCTGTTATACCCAACTCTCCGTGTCGGATGCAGCGCCCCCACACACACGTTCTCAGGAGGAGGAGATGGAGGAGGTGGGGAAGGAGTTGTATCACAGCATTCCTGTTACACAGCCATGGCCTTTCTGGAATCAGCCACTGCGGTGGGCGTCAGGTCTCTAGATGCCTGGAAGCAACACAAGCAACTGGGGGTTGAGGGGACAGCATTGCCAAAGCAGGTGGGCAGGAGCTAGAAGAGAACACATTTATAATGGCCCGAGCTCCTGTGGGCACCTCTGGAAGCCCTGAAGGTTACGCTGAAGGCTTTCAGAGACCGGGCTACCTTTGGTACTGAGGCAGCCATCCATAAAATAAATTGCATGTCCTCCTGCAGCCATGAGAGACTTGTCCTCACAGACCAAATCCAATCCCCCAGCTTCCAGGAGAAAGAAGCAGTCTACATGCAGGACACCTACATTACGCTTGGCATTAAGGCCAGTGCCCAGATCTCCAATGAATGGCAAAAGTCCGCCCCAGCTCTTTCCCATAGGATTGCTTAGACAGGGACACAAATAGTGGTGTGCTCTGGGGAATGGTAGGGTGAGGCAATCTCAGCCTTGAACAAAAGAGAAGGGGCATTGGCCAGAGTAGGCCAGATTTTGATGTGCAGACAAAAGATGGTGATGCCAGGATGAAATGACTCACTGGAAAGGGATAGCACCTGGAGGAAGATGGCTTGGGGGGCAGGATGTATTTCAGGTTAGTTGAAACATAACTTTTTCAAAAAGGTTTTCCAAGGCACCCTAAAGAAGTTGGGTGCCCTATTCTTTCAACTCACTTGTTCAGGGTCATCAGCTTACAAAGTTAGCTCCACAATGGCAGGGACTAGCTAGCATCCTGTCTAATGCAGCTGATGGAATGAACTGGAGGAGAAGGGGAGGGAGAAATAATCAGCTGTCTCCTGCATCTTCGTTCTGAGCAGTTGCTAGGTGATGTCTAGGAGGACCACTGCTGCTTGCTACCTGCAGGAGCTGTTCCCTGAGCTCTGCCCCCTGCACAGCACTGGGTGGGGGAGGGGTGCAGAGGGAGGGTGCCTGGCCCTTTCCTGGACTCACTGAGGCTGGACTGCATGCAACCCTCCCTCCATAGGTTTGCCTCGCTGGCCTCTATCGTCACCCCAGCAATTGCTCATCACCTCCCAGCTCTTCCCCTTCTCTGTCCTCATCCCCAGACTGAGGAATGCCAAATCGAAGTGTTTCGAAGTGTTGAGTCACCCCCCCCCAACCCCGTTTTCCTTTCTGCCTCTTTCAGCCAACCCTAGCTGAAGAAACGCTGCGGGGGCTGGCAGTGTCACCCCCAACACCAGCAGGAGCCCCGTATCTCCTGCCATCCTCCCATTGTCAGATGTACTTCAAACCATACGATGGAAGCAAACATTTCTGCTTGTTTTACATACACTTCTCACTGTGGATAAGATGGGCCGGACACGCAACTGTAATGTTTTCAGGGTTAGGGCTCTGCTCAACTGATCTTCCCATAACATCAATTTCTTTTTTTTTTTTTAACATCAATTTCTTTTGGAATTGAATTTGACACACAAAGTCCACATGGTTTGTAAAGCACAGGTTTAAAAAAATTTATAACCTATTTTTGGCTAAAGGAGGGTTGTAGAAAAATAGTTTCTATATAATCAAATAGTCATTTTTAAAAATTAAAGGGACTTCCCTGGTGGCACAGTGGTTAAGAATCTGCCTGCCAATGCAGGGGACACAGGTTCAATCCCTGGTCCAGGAAGATCCCGCATGCTGCGGAGCAACTAAGCCCGTGCGCCACAACTACTGAGACTGTGTGCTAGAGCCCACGAGCCACAACTACTGAGCCCACCTGCCACAACTACTGAAGCCCGCACGCCTAGAGCCCATGCTCTGCAACAAGAGAAGCCACCGCAATGAGAAGCCCGCACTGCAACGAGGAGTAGCCCCTGCTTGCTGCAAGTAGAGAAAGCTTGCGCACAGTAACAAAGACCCAACACAGCCAAAAATTAATTAATTTAAAAAAAAAAAGATTATAGGCTAGTTCTAATAGGATTGCTGAAAAGGGTGTATAACCTTGGAACATTTGAGAAGTATCCATTTCATTGCCTACTTATGTACCAATTGTGAAGTTTCTTCTAAGTGATGTTTCTTTGCTAGTTGTGGAGAGAGGGGAACGTCCCACAGTCACTTAGGGACCTGTCTCCACAAGTGGAGTGGACTTCTTTATAACCCAGGGTTTTGCTGGTGCGATGCTGCATTCAGCACGGCCTCAAAGTGATGTCCCAGTATCCTGCTACCCTCTCGACACATGGCACCAAATATGTAATCTGAAAATAAAAACGAGGATGGTTCCTGTTTTATAGACAATTTAAGAGGAAAACCCTTGAAATGGGAAGTCTTTTTTAAAATCAAACTTTGCTTCATCCCTCAAATTTCCTTGATCCTATTCTGTTCCTTACTTTATAAACTCATTACATATTTGATTTTAAATTTTATTATTAAGATAGGTTAATTTACCCTGTTAGAACCTTCTTAGAGTTTCTCCCCACCACACCTGCTGCTTGATACAGAATTTTTTGAGGGGTGGCATTAAAGGCATAGGACTAGACGGAGCTTTTTGAAAGCAGGGACCAATACTTGATCATTTCCGTATCCTCAGCACTTGACGTGAAGGCCTGACGGAATGAGGATTGAATTGAGCCAGGCCTGCCGTGCTTTCACGTGGCCATAAAGCAGCCAACCAGGTGCCTGCTCCTGGGAGGAGGTGGGCTCCGCAGTCTACCCGTCCCGCCCCTTGGACCCGGGCCCAGAGACGGGGTTACCAGCTGGGCGGCCCCCCAGACTCAGGCGGGCAGATGGCCCCAGCACCCTCGGCCCGAGAACGGCGGGGGCGACGCCAGAATGAGGCGGGGCGATGGGTGAGCGCGCCTCGACCCCCGGCCAAGGAGCCGGGGTGCAAGGAAGAGGAGAATCACCTCGAACCCGGGATGTGAGAAAGCTTACAAGGCTGGGAGGACAGGCAGGGAAAAGGTTTCCTTCCCTCAGAGGGAAAGGAAGGAGAGAGCCTGCTTTTGAAAACAAAACCCTCATCCCCACCCCCACCCACGTAACCAGATGGGCCCGGGAGGCCGATCTTCGACGGCAGAGGGTGGTATGGGGCCAGCAGATCCGCGCACAAACTGCACACGGCGCCGGCCTCGAGCCGCGGGAGAAGCAGGTTTATGAGCCCTGAAACCCTCTGAGATGAGAGAGATAATATCTATAAAATCCAGGATTGCTAGAAAGCCACAGACTTTCTTCTCCAAACTGCCGAAAATAAAAAGTTGGAAGTGAAATTAATAGCGCTGGGGATGAGAGAGGAACGAGGCCATGCACGTGTATCTTTAAAGCATCTTCTGGACACATTACATTCCGGGTGCTGACCTAAGCAATTTGCACTTCTTATGTCATTTAATCCTCACAACAACCCAAGGAGATAGGGGTTACAATCTTGTTTAATCAATGAGAAAATTCTCTTAGGTTAACTTGCCCAAAGTCACATCGCTGACTCAACAGGACCAGTTTAATAACTATGCCAGTAACTTTCAAACTTTTTGGATCCACAGTAAGGGATGTATTTTAGATCCAGAGCACATACATATAATATATAACTGAAAGGAAAATTTCATAAAATGTGTACCCTTCTTTCTTTTCTATGCATTCCGTTTTATTTAAAAGGAAATGCTGGTCCCGACCCGCTTAATGCATTTCATAATTCACTAAAGGGACAGCCCCCCACCCCCACCCCCCAGCTGGAGAAACACTGTGTTACTACCTCCCAGCAGCAGAGGGGCTGGAGTGG